ATGTGATGTTAATGACGTTCGGTTGAATTTTCATCAAAGTTTGAATGGACCGGTTTGATTGGTGATGTGGTTGGCCGACCAGAAAACAGTTCTTTACCACAAAACCGTTTGGCTACTTTACCCGATTCTGTTCTTGAACTGGGTTTTCGCTTAATCTGGGGCTGTTTCTTCGTTGTTGTTTTCGTTGACTGTCGTTCTTCTTCAAGAACGTCAAGATCATTGTCTTCTTCTTCACTGTCATCTTGCGGCGCCAAAACACGTTCTGCTGCAGCAATGGCATTGTCTATGATACGATAGGTATCTAGAATGCAAAAAATTTTATCATTTCTTGTAGGTAAATTCTTCGACAGTACAATCACTTGACGTTTCTTCTTTTACAGTCATAAAATCAATTGTTTCACGATTCATATCTCTTACTACGAAAAAAGACAGATAAGAAGAACAGTTCGTAGAAATGAAGTGATAACTTACGCTTGAATGGTACGTCAGTTAATTGTGTAAATTTTTTTGTGTCTGAAGAGAAACAAGAGAAAGTAAACCTGACAGACTCTTTAAAATGCATACTTATTGTATTTGACGCTGTCGTCGTTGCTGATGATGCTGACGGTTTTTGTTGTCTGTTGTGTGCTGATAACTGATTATTTACATCTTCCAAATCCGATTCAACTTGATCACTCATTGGTTGAGCCAAACGTTTCCCTTGTTGTTCCATGTCATTTCGAGTTCCTGAAAGAAAAGCTGTTTATTTTATAGCGTATATAAAAATACAGATGGAGAATGCATACCTTCAGCAAAATAGAAGGCCAGATGTTTTTTACTACCTTCTGTGATACTGACGAAACGGTTTTGATCTGGTTGTGGTACATTCTTTTTCTTCTTAATAGCGTACGTATCATCCGCGCTAAATAACAATAAGACATATAAATCTTGTTCTGATGATGGACGTGCACAATAATTTCTTGCATATGGATTAACCGCTAAATAACTAGCCATCTAGAATAAATAATACAAGCAGATGATAAACAAGATAAATTTAAAGAAAACACAACATCCTGTATAACTACTTATGCGGAAGCGGTAGCAAATTAAGTATTCCGCAAAAAGAAACTTTATTTAATTCTCCGTCCAGAAACAAACAACAGTCATGTTCATAATCAACCCTTATTGCTGAAACACACAAAACATCTTCAAATGGAACACTGATACATTTATACAATATATTTTTCACCGGTAGTATCAAAAATTTTTTGGATAATGTTAATAAAAGATACAAATCATCTAATTTGTCAACTATCACTTGTGGTAATATCACAAATCCTGAGAGTTTTTTGTTTGATAATTCATACTGTTGAATAAAGGCAAAATATTCATCATTATATTGATAAAACAAAATAATATTGCCATAGTGAACAATTGCCGACTCCAACCGGTATGAAATAATGTAGCTAACGCATCTAAACGGTTGATCGTACAAAACTGTGTGATACGTAATAAATGCATCCTTGTATCATTTATAGAAGATGATATTGTTAACATTTTTGCCAATAGTTGTTGTTAATATTTGTCGATACGAATCGATTGACGAATGATTTGTGGATATTTGATTGATACCAATGGGAGGTGGCACGATAAATTGATTTGATTGCACCATTGATTCTATATCGCACCAATAAGCAATTTGACTTGATAACATTTTTGTTCCATGCACTTTCTTCTTTATATGTCGAATACACGATTCGAAGGTGAATGCCGATGAGAATGCTAACCCTCGGTGCTGTCGGACTTGAAGTGGCAAATGGAGTTGTGCGGAATAAGGACAGACTCACCTTTGCTGATTTTTCACTTGCTTCTTTAGCAGCAGTCAAAATTCGGCATGAGTTCTGGCCATATATTTATTTGCCTTGTATGAATACAAAACTATACCATAATCTTCATTCCATAGGCCTGAAAAAAGGAAATGTAAACAACTGTTTCAATGATATTGAAGAAATATACCTTGAGTAACACAAAAACTACACGCATTGTAGCCGTTAAAATTTATTGTCTTCATAAATAATGATCGAGCTGGTAGATCCGATAGGAAAAATTGTGTTTGAATGATAAAATTATATTCTCGGTTGTTAACAAAAATAGATGTTCCAACTTGCATTAACTCTTTGAGTTTGTTAATTGTTTCCTCTAAAAATATACTGACATCAGGTTTTTTTAGATGACCATAATGACAATACGACGATATTTTGTTGATACTCTCGCACGGGTGGTGGAATTTCGACTATCGAGGCGAAACATGGCCATATTGACTGTTTCGTTGATCTAATTAGCGGTGCACCGTCTGTATGGATTATCATTGTAATGGTATTCGTGTTTGTTGTCACTAAATTGTTAAGGTACTTTCTTCCGCGAGAGACGTCAGATGATGAAAATAATGTCGAGGTTAACAATCTCGATAATTTGATGTGGTTTCAGAGTACGGTTAAAAACTGAGCAACGATAATTCACGCATTTTTTGGCTCCATATCGCATTTTCACACATAGTTCGTCACAATATACGCATAAAAATTTCGATGTGGACATACACGTTCTTCCAAAGATGTTTAATATGCCTTTCCATGTTGTTGGTAATAAATTGGGCTGCGGAAGAATTGATTTGATTATTTTCAATAAATTGGTGACGTTGAGTTTATCTAAATTACACTTAGTAGAATAGTCTGTTAGTATTTTCAACACTTTCATTACCGTTAATTTACATCCGTCATATAGTGGTGGAGAATTATCAAAATCGTTGTATTGGTTGTCGTCTAATCGATTGTTTTCATTAAAATCGGGAGTGTAAGCAGCTGTTTGACGTTCTTTCGGTGCGACGACGAAATTTTGATCGACCTCATTTGTCCGTTGAAAATCGCCATACTCATCGCTTCCACTTAACGTATCAGACGACGAAGATTCCGAAGCTTTCGATTTCTTCCTTCGTCGTTGATATCTTTGATTCGTGACTCTTCGAGAGTAATTAGTCTGCTTCCGAAACATCTGAAACATACGAAGATTGATACAATGAGGTTTGATGTATGCGTACTTGACATAGTTTTTCACGTAAAGCATTGGCGAGAATAGCGCGATATCCTTCCTTTTGAAAGTTTTTGTTCTTCGCTAGGAGACCGGCTTTGTTTTTCTAAACATAAACGGACTGCCTGCATCTTCCGATGTTTCTTTTTATGGTCAACTGTCATCCATCTTGAATCTTGTATTGGTTCAAAGCACTATCCAGTGGAATTTAAGAATGAAAGTCTACAAAAGGAATAAATATATGATATCTGTTTTTGCCACAAAAATCCACACAAGGTATTATATGTGTTCGTCATTGAAAAATTTTATTTATTTTAAATCTAACCATGACAACGGTCAATTAACCGCGGTTCGCAAAAATACCGACAATTAATCACGGTTTCTGCACAAACCGCACGGTTCACCGCGATTAATTGCCGGTTTTATAGCCAACCCCGGTCAATTGCCGGTTTTTTTACGAACCGCGGTTAATTGCCGGTTTCTTAGAAAAAAAGACGACATGGGTGTACTTTAAAAGATCAAGGCATACATTACGAATCCGTAACACATTCGCTGAACTGATGCGAGAAACGTGAGAATCAATATATCATTAGATGTGAAGTGGCGGACAAAATGCAAAAGGCATTTTTTTAATGTTTTTTTCTTTACCATAAGAAAATCAAACTAGTTAGAGAACTCTGGTTTTCACCATTGTGTAGAGCATCCTCTCTAGCCTATATGTAAATATTATCAGTTTTTATTTTCTTTCATTCCTATTTTATTAATAAACTAATAAAACATTTCGTTTCACCATCTGTCAAAATTATTGAGAAAAAACTAGAGAGTATATATTGTCACAACTTTCAGAAAAGTCAGACACTCTAGGCAATGAGTAGTTTTTAATTAATTTTTTAAGATAGCTGAGATCGTAAGATTAGTTTCAATAGGTCCTTTTGAATTCATTTGGATTCATTGAATCACGTCAAAACTTTTGTGAAAATGCTGAATTGTAGAACAGAATTTCCTCTATAAGATGGTATTTCTCCTGAGTTTTTAACACTGATTTTAGGAGAGATGCATTCAGTTTACTGAAATCGAAAAATTCTGTTTCTAACACGATTTGGATGTACTTTGTCAGACGCCTTAGTTTGATGTTATTTTCTTACCCTAAAAGTTCTTTATTTGTCAAGAAATATCGAGCAGGAAGAGTTTAACAGTTCTGGATCATTTTTTTATTTTTAACAAAGGAAATGTACCTAGTCCATATTCGTACGAATTCGATACAGTTCGCATCAATTCGCTGCAAATTCGCAAGATGGTAAAATGGAAATTGTTGCATTATTTTTACGCTTAAAGATCGCGGTTCGTTAATTCGTCTTTAGACACTTTGTCTACACATCTCCATTAAATATAAATATTTTATTTATGACAAAAGAGAAACTTTCAGAAAACAGCTTAACCTTTATTTTTTTATATAAAAATAGCTAGACATTTTTCAGACACATCCATAATTCGTTAGTATTACGAGTTGTACTCTACGTCCAGTCTTCTTTTAGGAAAAGGTACCGTTCAGCTTTTGAGTTATACGACTGTTAATATCACTGCTCATTATACGAAAAGTTTAGTTTCGATAAAAATTTCAGAAAATCTAACAAGTTACAAGTTTGTTGATACTTTTTGTAAATTAATCTGGGATGTACTATTTTTCTCTCATTCAATGCGTATATATGACTATGTTTATTATTTTCTTTAAATATTGTACAACCTTCTTTGCTCAAAGTGTATTGCTCGTACAACGCCGTATGAGAAATCCCATATTGATTTCGGAAATGCCTTTGCTATCCATATCCCACTCGACGAAAAAACTGAAAAATTCACGCCTATGATCATGTCCAAAGTATCAATTGAAAAATTATTCGATCCACAGGCTAGTCGGTTGCCTCGAATGTTAGCACTTCTTAATGTTGCGTTTTTTTCAATGCTTCTGCAACTGCTTCGGTCCCTTCATTCGATATGCTGTTATGTCCAATATCAAGACTCGTTAACGTTGAATTTATTTTCAATGCATCTGCAACTGCTTCGGCTCCTTCATTCGATATACTGTTGTGCCCAATATCAAGACTCGTTAACGTTGAATTTGTTTTCAATGCGCCTGCAACTGCTTCGGCTCCTTCATTTGATATACTGTTGTGTCCAATATCAAGGCTCGTTAACGTTGAATTTGTTTTCAATGCGCCTGCAACTGCTTCGGCTCCTTCATTCGATATACTGTTGTGCCCAATACCAAGACTCGTTAACGTTGAATTTATTTTCAATGCGCCTGCAACTGCTTCGGCTCCTTCATTCGATATACTGTTGTGTCCAATATCAAGGCTCGTTAACGTTGAATTTATTTTCAATGCTTCTCCAATTGCTTTGGCCCCTTCCTCCGATATCTGGTTCGATCCAGTGTTG